TAAAAAGTTTTGTGAGTGCACTGTCAGGCAGAATATATCAGTCCATATGAAGTACAGTGGGCAGCTTGTTTAATTTTCTGTAATATTTCATTAGAAATATATTTTGATTCTTTAATTTCTGTTATCTAATGATATTCACATCTGTCTGTGAGTGTCTAGATGTCATTTGGCGCTGTGTGTTTCTGCTCATATGCGTGAGAGTCGAGCTACAGTGAGCTGTCAGAAGTGTCATTAAACGTTTGTTTCATGCTCTTTTTTCACTCGTGTATTTATAGAGACGCACAGAGTGGGTCACATGGGCAGCGAGACGTGGTTGCTGGGCAACATCAATCAAACGGGCTACTTCAGAGTGAACTACGACCTTCACAACTGGAGACTTCTCATTCAACAGCTGATGACCAACCCAACGGTAAACTTTCTTCCACCTCTGTCAGTCCATCATCTTTTGAGTTTCTTTTCTTTCACGATCCTTCCGTTTCCTCATTCTCCTCATCACTCCTGTCTCTCCTGCATGGTTCCTGCTGCATTATAAATGTCTCTGCTTGTTCTCCGCCGGCAGATCATCTCCGTGGGCAACAGGGCCGGTCTGATTGATGACGTCTTCAACCTGGCGAGGTGGTTTCTGTTTGTTACACACAGAGTCATTCAGAGCCTGAAACCTGCACTACAGATCCATTTAACGTCCTTCACACCCACAGAGACCCGCTGGACTATTCAGTCTCATTCAGCTTTATTTGTGTGCTGCTTTTTATTGTCACAGTAACTGTCACATTATTTCAGGGGCTCGTTCACCTATCAGTACACCTACCAGAGTATAAAAGCCTGTTGAGACCAAGTCTGGATTTTCAGCACAAAAAACATATTCAAAATGAAAAAAAAAAAATCTGATTTCAAAATGAAACATTTCATCTCTAAGAACTTCACTATGGTCAAAATTAAGTAATTAAATCCACATTTAATTGCACAAATTAATTGTTATTCCATAATAATTATTGTTATTAACATCTCATTATATCTACTTTTGTTTGCATTTAAATTATTTTCTTTTTAAAATAAAAAGGAGTGTTAAATGTTTTTTTTTAAATAATAAAATTATTTATTTCTGATTTACACTGAATAGATGAATCAATAATTTCTAAAACCTGATTTCCCTAAAAAGCTTTTGATTATACTGGAAGATTTTTCATAGATGTCAGTCAGTCATCAAAAAAGGGGCTTGCAATGAATGAAAGTTACAGCAGAGAACAGTGCAAATCAATCCTGGGATTTCAAAAGGTTACATCATGATGAACAAATCTGTATGAAAATCAAAGTGTTGCAGAACTGTGGTTGTGCATTCATAACACTCTCCAAGCTGATTAAAATAGCATCACCAGACAATGTTCATATATTTGATCTGCTAATGCCAGATGAATCACATTTAACATGATCATGTCATATTCACCAGCTGTAGGAATGCATCAGCAGTATGCAAAATATGATATGATATTCATCTTTGCATGGTGCATTAAGTTTTGCGTAATTACACCAGCAGTTGAATCTAAGTACTCAAGCAAAAACGATTAGCCATTTGGCATCAATAACAATAAATTATTCATTCTTTTTTTTATTTTTATCATAAAGACAGATATTTAGCACCAGGCGTTTGGAAAGACCTAAATCTCAAAGGCAACACAGATTTTCTTTTGGTTAGCCTGAGAGCATCTTGAAAAAGCCGTCCATCACTATAGTAAAGAAAAACCTGATCCAGTCAACTTCAGTAAGACGTTCATTACTGACAGATGCAGTTCTTGTACTGTAATTCTCTTTTCTACTTTAGCCTGAAGGCGTTACTGAAGAAAACCCTTTAGCTCATCAAGATGAGACCTGCACTGAGACTATTGAGCCGTTACTGCAATAGTGGATAATAATAAAGCGCGAGCAAACCTCTGTGTTCCCGCCTTTCCACTGCTGCCTCATTGTGTCGATCCTTCAGAGCTTCATCAGTAGCTGGAAACTCATGAACGTCTATTAATGTAAGAGGAGGAAGAGACAGAACGATAAAGGTAGAGAGAGTTTATATAGTGCCACAGGCTGCCAAGCTGCCATTAGTCCCTTCAGGAACCACCGCTTTCCCTAAGGTCCTCTCTGTTTAATACAAAAACTCGAACTCATTCTGCTTAATGAAGGGAATTTCAATCGCTGGCAGCTAGAATCAGTCGGCAGCCAAAACAGTGTTTGAGTATCACTGATGGACTTTCTTAAACATTGAATGTTGTGTATTTACCGTAGATGCGGTTTGTAAAGATTGTGAAATTCATTAGTTTTACAGGACAGTTATTTTTATTCTTCCACCAAACTAACTGAGGAAGCTGCCAGATGCTCTGCTAGCATTAGCACCGCTCTTCATCAAACTGAAGCGACAGGCTCATCTGCCGGCGCTGTGCAGCTCTCGTCGTGGAGAATTGTGTTTTTGGCCACAGATGTTTCCTAAGAATGAAGATTCAGTCAACTGACGACAAACCTGCAGGGAAACTTGTGTTTATTGCCGTCACGTTGGGCCGAGAATGGAAACCTGTTCCCCTGCGTTGTGGTACGTCATGTTCATTTAGTCTGTTTATTCGGTTCGGCCTCGTTTACTGAAGAGCTGGATAACTGAAACTTAACAGGACTGAAGGCAAATCCTTTTGTTCCTGAGTTTTGATTTCAGTCAGGTTTGTACATATTGTTTCTCTCTGCTGTTGTTTACAGCTAATCCTAATAAATAAGAGCGAATGTTAACAGGATGTCTTGTTCAACCTCAGGGCTCAGATCTGTGGAGGTGGTTATTGGCTCTTACGTACTTGAGAAGCGAAAATGCCAACCTGCATATTAAAAACAGCATCATCATTAATCACAATGTGACAAATGTCTAATTTCTCTGTAAATTACTGGGATGATGAAGAGTGTTCAAATGACTGAGGAAAATGAATGGGCTCTGCTGCCTTCAGTAATGTTACCTAATTAAATGCCCCTGGTGCTCATGGGAGTCACTCACAGATCAATACTGCCTCACAGAGCTCAGTCAGCCTTTATTGTGATTATGAATTACTGGATCAATTGAGGAGAAGAAAGCTGGTGTTAGTGAAGCCTAGTTTAAGAATAAAGATCATATTTCAAGTGCATTATTATAAGAAGCTTTTGCATCTTTCATTAAAATACTGGAATTCTCACTATTAACTAGCATGCATATTACAAGCATATTACTTATGAAGCACATATTAATGCCTTATTTGCATTGACATATTTTAGATCCCTTAATTCTACCCCAAACTTAACACCTACCTTAGTAACTATTAATAAGCAGTAAATAAAAGTTTACGAAGTCTTAGATAATAGTTAGTTAATAGCGAGACTATTGGACCTTAAAATAAAGTGTGACCAAAATATCTTTAAAGTAGTTATCAATATCTTCTGGAGCACCAGGTCAATGGGGGTTTTGTGTAATTTCACAAAAACTATCAAAAATGTTTGGGTCATATTTCAACCTGTATTAAACATAAAAGTATAATATAATATAATATAATATAATATAATATAATAATGTAGTACATTTGGAATTATACTTTTTATATTTTATATTTTAGCACATTTGTAGATATGCATTGTGTCTACTGTACTTGAATCTACTTAATGTTGATTTTATTAAAACACATTGTGTCAATATTTTCATTACTGCAGTATACTATAGTAACAAGATAAAAAAGGTTGTCATTATCTGCAATAAAATTAATACTTTTTATTTTATTTTACACGTGATTCACAGTCGCATCAAAACACAATCCATTTTTTTTGCAGCAAATTATAGTGTTAACAGCAGTTTATGTTTGTAGTTTAAGTACTTAAGTTCTACTAAAATAAATTAAAGCAATTAGCAGTTGCTATTAACAGCTCGCTGTCATTACTGTGATCACCAGCTACTTGTCTTGACACACTGTGCTCTGAACTTCCATAGAAACGCTGATCTGTTTCTAACCCCATATTAGCATCATCAGCAGATTGTTGCCATAGAGGCACAAGGTTTGTTTGTGGCGCTTGTAAAACATCATGACTCCTGTCGACAATTCTGTAATTTCTCACACAACAGCGAGAACGAGTGCATATTTTCAACTTTTTCCTTTGACACAATATTTTTTATGCACATAGTGAGATCTCATTTGACTAATAGGCCTGTTTGAAATGCTCTGCTAAAGCCTCGACAAAATGAGCTACAATTACAGGCCAATTTAGAAAGTCAATGATTTATTTAGGAGACTGTTATGTTACTCTTTATATACTCATGAATTAAAAATCCATTTGAATTTTAGAGTCCAATGGTCACTGACGTTCATTTTGCCCTCATTGAAAATTAATGTCAGGCAATTTTAAAGAGCCACACATTCCTTTTTATTTTACCTTGCTGTTCTTCGGCAGTGCTATTATCAATGATAAATGGCCTTCATGCAATGCAACTCATGTTTCTCTGAGCTTGTGTGTGTGTACTAGCACGTTCCTGAAGCGCAAAAGTGATCAACTCATTCATTACTGTGCTCACTAACAGCAGGGAAACTTCAACGCCTCATGACAGTTTTATGGTAATGTTGCGTTTATATTTAATGAACATTTTCCCTCCGACCTTCGATAAGAAAGCTGAATAATTCAAAAATACAAGGAAGAAAGGAAAGTTTTATAAAAGGGAGGAACTGAATGGCCTCCAGTCTATCTATCTATCTATCTATCTATCTATCTGTCTGTCTGTCTGTCTGTCTGTCTATCTAAAGGTCAATGTGACGAAATGAGATGTGATTTGTGTCGTCTACCAGCCATCATTCACTTCACGTTTAATGTGTTGTGACAGGTGAAGTCAATGCAGTGATTTATATGCTACTGCGTCTTTAAACGCTAAAGAGAAACACAATATAATTAATGCACATGTGATGTGATTAAGCTCTTGGCTCAGTGTGAAAACTGTACCATTCATGTGTGCACATCAGTCAAGAGATATACATTGAATATTTCCTTGTAATCAGTGTGAAAGAATGACAGTGTTTCAAGTGCCTTGGCATCATTAGAGGCTGATTAATTGTTTATTTTAATACAATTATTGCTCATTAGACCACAGTCTAATGCTTTATTCTGTTTGACTGACACAATGGTTTGGATTTATTTTCTATAACCACACAGCTGTTGCTGTTGACCCGGGTTCTAAACAAGATGCATAATCAATGCCGTACATAAGTGGTTTACACGTGCTTTCGACAAAAATTCTGAAAATATTTGGAGATAAGCACACGTACATGTGGTAATCGCAGTAAACGTAGAATTATTGACTGAAGACTGTTGAATTATTGAAAATTAATACATGCCTGAGGTGTAAAAGCCACTGCTTTGGGTTTGCATTAACTGCAAATAATTCAACAGTCTGGAGTCAATTACTCCTAACATCTATAAAGCTGTAAGACTGACATCAATGCTAGTGTCAGTCAAATAAAGCATTTCTGAGCTCTCATTTTCTGAATATTTTGAAATACAACTGAGCAATACTTTTCCATTACCATGTATAATAGGACAATTTGACTTCATATTAAAACTTTAAGGACCATTAATCCCTGAACTTCATGCACATATTAAAGGAAATTAGAAAACTCTCCATCCTTTTCTAATGTAATAACAGGCTGTTTAAAGGAAGAAGAACATTGCACTAGATGCAAACCTCTTTGAACGCCTTGATATAAAACTCTTCTTAGTCACATGGTATATATTCACCTTTCTTGATGCTATAAACACATTTGCTAATTTTTTCGTGGAGATGTGGAAATCGTTTTTAGTTCTTCACATCCTCAGTTGTCTCCTGCTAATGTGAATGCAAATCAGTTTCTCTGAAAACCTCCTTGGGTAACAGTGGGTGTCTGTGAGTAACTGTGATTAATGTCCCAATTAAATGTGTGTTGGGTGAATCTGTCCTCCAGAATTTAATGAGTCCGTTTTCAAGTCTGATCACTTCCTTTTTCGCCTGACCTCAGATTCGGAGCACTTATGTGCCCTGCATGAAATTGAGAAACTGAAATAGACAACCAAGGCTCATCATAAATACATTTCACTGCGGTTTTCTGCTGAAATTACCACTAGTGATACTAACAACTTTTGGTCACACTTTATTTTAAGGTCCAATTCTCGCTATTAACAAACCATTAATTATAACTTTTGTCTTAATAAACTCCTAATTTGCTGCTTATTAATAGTTAGTAAGGTAGTTGTTAAGTTTAGGTATTGGGTAGGATTAGGGATGTAGAATATGCTCATGCAGAATATGTGCTTTATAAGTACTAATAAACAGCCAATATGTTAATAATAGGCATGCTAATAAGCAACTAGTTAATAGAGATACTGGTCCCTATACTAAAGTGTTACCCAACTTTTATTGCTTTTCACACAAATTTAACTGGAAATTTCACTTTGAAAGTGTCACAAAAGGCGCAAGAAGCAGCATAATATTATTTTGCCTAAAGATCGCATCAGTAATGTTTTTGCAAAGAGCCTGGGTTGGAACGCAAATGCGGCAAACAAATTAGCACTGCTCATGTGAAGTGCGCTTAGACACAACTGACAAGCTAACAGCAAAACACTCTAATAAACATAAAACAACACGGCACACACAAATTATATACTTGAAAACAATGCTAGCGACAGTGCTGGCCTTGCTATGGTGTTCTAAGAGGTTGCATAATGTATATGTGACACTGTGCTTGCTAAAAAACATTCTTTAAATTCAAAGACTTGTGGAAAGTCTCGTCTTTCTTGTTTTTGGTCTAAGGATATTGGCCACCTCTGTGTTGTTCTGCTCTCATGGGAGGATTGTAGGTGTTTCTAAAAAGGCCGAGGGGAAAAAGGAAAAGACATTTGAAGCTTTTAGAAGAGATCTTATGTTTTATGGATTTATGCAAATTGAACACGACTGTAGCCGTACAGGAGAAGCAGTTTTTTTTTTGTTTCTTACAGCACATTATGACTCCCCACGCAAAGCACAATGCCTGGCAGTTATTCTAAACGAATAATGATGAACAAAATGAACTGTTTGTAATCAAATGTTAACGATGTGTCTTCCAAAGGGGAAATATGTGTAAAAATGAGCTGCTAGTGTCTGATCCTCATGCTTTCTTTCTTTTCTCTAGAGCGGGGTATTTGCCCCAAAACGTCCCCCTGCAGATGATCTCATATTTGTCTCAGGAGACTGAGTTTCTGCCGTGGCACGCTGCTAGTCGAGCTCTTTACCAGCTGGACAAACTCCTGGACCGCACTGAAGACCACAGCCTGTTCAGCGTGAGTCTGATCTCACATCAGTTTGCGGTTTGTTGTATTTTAACCTTGACTAGAGCAATAAGAAAGACACGGCTGATATCTAGCAGCACGTCTCAGATGACTCGACTCACCGCCAGACAGATCGAACTCAAAAATGCCTCTGATCATCATCCAAAACAGCAGTCCAAAATGTTTCCAGACACAATGCCTGTTTGCTGCAGCATTTTATAAACTCATACTTACTAAAACAGTGTCAAATCTCCACCATTGCTAATGTTCAAAATATCATACTACCATATTTCTCATACTATTTCTGCAGTATACACAGTGCTTAATTTGTAAATCAAAAGGTGCCGGAACGCAAAACGCATATTAGAGCGGAGGGGTGACGAGACAGGTGCAGGTCCCGGAATGCACAAAAAACGGTGCTGAAAACAGCATGCTATGTGCTCAAATAGCCTACCCTCTTACTATTGTACTAATCTTCACAACACTCAAAAGCCCACATCAACCTCATGCTTAACTGTTGAACTTGCAGCATTTGCAGTCAGCAATTAATTTCGCAACAGGTATAGCATACTTCACAGTTCACAATTACACAAAGCTGTCTATAATATTAATAGATAAACAAACGCTTGCTTACCTTATCTAGTTGTCTAAAACACCCCACACCAAAGCCATGTCGTGATTCTCCTCCTCCCGGTTTCGGGTTTTACTGCGTATGTCTGTGGCAGTTCTGTGTCCTTTGG